GACCAAACAAGCGCTGCGAAAGAGACTACAGAAAGCGTGACACCAAATCTAGTTCATTTCTGCTTATAATTGTACAGACATCAGTGATAACAGACCACAGAATACTTGTGTCTGAGTTTATTTCATTTAGATCGGAAGGGTCATTTTTTCTCTCTATCGAAGGTGTTTTTGGAAACTTTAATTTCTTTTACAAAAATGAAAAAAAATCAGTTATTCAAATTGTGCCATTTTAACTTATCCATCCCAAGAAAAAAAACTTTTCCATGCGTGGCATGCCTTTGTTTAGATAAAGACAGTGAAATGTTTGCACGTAATAAAAACTTGTATTTGGCGAATATATTAAATGATATCAAAGGAATGTTATAGAGTGGTAATCGATCCTGGTGTCGTGCAATTTCTTTGCGGAACCATCCGTTTGATTTCAAATCGAACTCACGCTGCGCACAAGTTCAATTTTGAAATCACGCATATGACTCAGACCGAATTGCATTCCATTCGCTTCAATTACCATTGTTAATTGAAAAATCAATGGTCAGGGGTACATTCTTTATTTCTTTTAAAAATTACACCTGAAATAATTTAATTTCGCTCCTTGAACTTTCCTTTCAGAACCTTCTGCTACTCCTTTTAATGTGAGAGGACATAACACCAGCTCAACCAGCATCTTAGTAGTGTATGGTGATGTTCCAGCTTTTGATCAGAATGGTATCATCACAAATTACACCATTACTTACCGGTCACTAACAGAGGGTCACAATGGGAGTGCTATAACTGGCCCCAATGACCGTCAAAAGGAATTAACAAATCTTAGAGAGTACGTCGATTACGAAATCACAGTACTTGCGTCGACTTCGAAAGGAGATGGACCACAAAGTAGCCCTATTCTTGTTAGTACAGACGAGGATAGTAAGTACTGTTATTTTCCAAATCGCTTGTCTATGATAAATGTTTCGCCTTATGTAAGGTAATCCGGATTCCGGAATCCAGGAAATTTTTACATGTGGAATCCGGAATACTGGGAATTGGAATCCAGAATCCAGCTTTTGGAATCCAGAATCTCGCTAAAAAATGAATCCAGAATCCATTCGCTGAAAATCCATTTCAAATCGCATAAATGGCTTTCACGCGCACGCATCCATGCAACCACGGTCATGCTAAAATGCAGACTTGCAGACCGTGCAGATCACGCAAACCGTGCAAACCATGCAGACCGCGCTTTGTTCGCCGGAGAATTTCGCGATTTTGTTTCGCCTCGTAAAATTTTGTCATGTGGTGTCCAAAACTTGGAAACAGTTCTTACGATACCAAAAGAAGAAAAAGGTGTACACACCTGAATCATGTGTAAATCACAGTTAAAAAAACAACAACAAAAAGGTGCACAGCCTGCTCAGTCTGCAACCGCTGTACAGTGCAGTTCATTCACGTTGTCGATGGGTATGTAAATTTAGAGGGACTAAAGAGATTGTCTACATAACAACAGCGTCCAAATCCCACAGGATTTACTTGGATTCCAACATAGCGACAGACCACACGTTAAAAACCTTTAGAATCATTGCTCTGGAGAATGTGACTTGACTTGGCTGGCCTTATAAAGAAAGGAAAAAGGAAGTATAGAAAAGAGAATCTGTTATTCTTGAAAAATTACCGTGTAAATGCAGATCTTTTGCGATTTTGCAAAGATTTTAGTAAAGTTGAGTTGGTTGAACACCTTTTTATGCGCAAACTCATAATGACGAACATCATCGCCAATTACATATAGGAAAACAAGCTTTTCGTAGTCATAGTCTGCTATTTATTTACGACATACTCAGGGTGTTATTAAAATTATATCTCAGTTTAAATTTCTCGTCAATACTCTGGTTTTTGATTAAAAGGAAAGTTAAAAAAGTAATATAGATGATAGGGAAATATTTTCGAGCTGTTTTGTTGACAGTTCTCCATGAAGTCAATTTTGAATTATAAAAATTGGCCACCTTTCAGTCTAGCCGGAACCATGTTATTCTGTGCTAAAACAATTAATTAATAAATTAAAAAGGATAAGCAATGATTTGATCTATTAGTTCTTTTCATACCTCTAAATCACTTGAAGAACTTCGAGGAACCTGAATGAAAGAAATATAGTGGACCTCTTCAGAGTTGCTAAAAGGAATGAATAAACATTGAACTTAAGAGACGGACAGTCTCAATAGATATTCCTAGAAGAAAAATTTATCCCTTTATTACACCCATTTTGAAATCACTGGTGGTCCCTGTAATCTGATTGGCTCTAATTGGTGCGATTTATTCACGAATTGCACCATTTTTTGCTTTAAATCGCATCTTTTTTCCAGTTGAAGAGGAGGCTACACTAAAAACAAAACAACCAATCAGACTTCAAGGCTTGTTTAAAATAACCGATCAAATTGCAGGAAGATGAAAGACATGAAGGATCATGCGGCAAATTTTGCAACTTTTGTTTCCAAAACTCTAATTTTTTCCTCCCAAAAAATGGATGACTTTAATTCCAAACTGGCTCAGTATTGTAGTAATAAGTATTTGAACTGACCAAGTCCTGTATTTGGGCGATTTCAAAATGGATGTAATAAAGTGGTAATTGAACCTCGTGTTGTGCAATTTTGGTCTGAAATTATACTTGTGATTTCAAATTGAACTCGCGCTGCGCGCTCGTTCAATTTTGAAATCACGTGTATGATTTCAGCCCAAATTGCACTCCACTCAGTTCAATTACCATTATTAATTTGCTGTAATATATTTATTTTAATTATCAAATATTGTTATGGAAATATGAATAGACAAACATGCATTCTCATAACATGTCCTTCAATAACGATATCCACCACTGAAGTCATTCTTAGAAAACGAAATGCAAATAATTAGAAGCAAACGAGAAACTAAAATCTAGAATCTTTTTTGTCTTGGAATCCGGAATCTGCACAGGTAGAATCCGTAATCCAGCAACTGGAATCCGGAATCCACAGCATGGAATCCAAAATCTAATATTGTCCTGGATTACCTTACATGGCGAAATGTTTTACACCCAACATCAGCATGCATATTATCCTTACTGTTCCCCATACGTATACAAAGGTGTTGACAAGGAGAAGTTGTTGCAAAATCAAGAGCCTCCCTGGCTGGAAATCGTTTTCTTTATTCTTGTGACTTCATCGTTTGATTCAGGGGTGAAACTGTAAGGAAAAATCAGATGCTAGTCACTCGTATGGGTTAAAGAGTTTAGGCTGATCATCACGTTCACCCTTCGGCTGTTTGCTTTTAAAAATGAAAATAATTTAAAGTGTGGTCTATAAAACTGCACCTCAAAGGAAAATCTAAGCGTGACTGATGACCCAGAGAAATTCCGGGTCTTTTGATGGCTCTTTACCTAAGTCTAAATTAACAAAATTAAAATCCTGTTAAGTTCACACTCAAAAGAAAAGCAAAAAAAAGGAATTCTCATTAAAAATGTTTCTCCCTCTCTCTCTTAAATAAACCATCTCGCTTTCAAATGGTCAAACTACAGTAATAAAATGAATAACAAAGAAGCCATTGCGTGGAGAAAAATGGACAAATATTATTTCCTACAGTTGTTGAATAGTGGCAGGGAGAGGTTTGCACTTATTAAAAACTTATAAAGTGGTAATTGATCTTGGTATTCAATTTCGTTCCGAAATCATCGTTTTGAGAACGTTCAATTTTTGAATCACAGGTAAAATTGAGTCCAAGTTGCATTCAGCTTACTTCAGTTACCAATATTAATTGATCAATTAACAGTCAGGAGTGCACTCTTCTCCGAGTCCTGTAATGGTTTTACTACAAGTCATTTGTTTTAAAAATTACCACGGAATTTATTTGAGGCCTGTTTCGTGAACTTTCCTTTCAGAACCTTCTGCTGCTCCTTTAAATGTGACAGGACGTAACACCAGCTCAACCAGCATCTTAGTAGTGTATGGTGATGTTCCAGCTTTTGATCAGAATGGCATCATCACGAGTTACACCATTACTTACCAGTCACTAACAGAGGGTAACAATGGGAGTGCTATAGCTGGCCCCAATGACCTTCAAAAGGAATTAACAAATCTTAGAGAGTACGTCGATTACGAAATCACAGTACTTGCGTCGACTTCGAAAGGAGATGGACCACAAAGTAGCCCTATTTTTGTTAGCACAGACGAGGATAGTAAGTACTGTTATTTTCCAAATCTCTTGTCTGTGATAAATGGTTTACATCCAACATCAGTATGCATATTCTCGATACTGTTCCCTTTACATATGCAAAGGTGCTGACAAGGAGAACTTGTTGACCAATCAACAGCCTCTTTAACTGGAGATCGTTTTCTTTATTGTTGTGACTTTATTGTTTGATTCAGGGGTGAAATTGTAAGGAAAATTAGATGATAGTCATTCTTAGGGGTTAAATGTCTAGACCGATGTTTACGTTCACCCTTCAGCTGATTGCTTTTAAAGATGAAACTAATTTAAAGTGTGCTCTACAAAACTGCATCTCAAAGGAAAATCTAACCGTCACTGATGACCCGGAGAAATTCTGCGTCTTTTGGAAACTCTTTACCTCAGTCTAAGGTAGCAAAATATAAATTCTTTTAAGTTCACACTCAAAATAAAGGAAAGATTCTCATTGAATTTTTTCCCTCTTTTCCTCTCTCCCTTAAATAAACCATCTCGCTCTCAAATGGTGAAATGATTACACTGCAGTAAAATGAATTACAAAGATTCCATTGCGTGGAAAAAAACAAAGACAAATGTTATTTCCTACGGTTGTTGAATAATGCCAGGGAGAGGTTTGCACTTATAAAAAACTTGTGTTTGAGTGGTTGATTTTATGATCTCAAAAGGGATTTAATAAAGTGGTAATTGATCTTGGTGTTCAATTTAGTCCAGAAATCATTCTTAAAATTTCAATGCCGACTGGTATTTTGAGTCCATTCAATTTTGAAATCACGCGTATGTTTGAGACCAAAGTGCATTCAGCTTATTTCAAAACTTTCCTTTTAGAACCTACTGCTGCTCCTTTAGATGTGAGAGGACATAACACCAGCTCAACCAGCATCTTAGTAGAGTGGGATGATGTTCCAGCTTTTGATCAAAATGGTATCATCACAAATTACACCATTACGTACCGGTCACTAACAGAGGGTCACAATGGGAGTGCTATAGCTGGCCCCAGTGACCTTCAAAAGGAATTAACAGATCTTAAAGAGTACGTCGATTACGACATCACAGTATTTGCGTCGACTTCGAAAGGAGATGGACCACAAAGTAGCCCTATTAGTGTTAGTACAGACGAGGATAGTAAGTACTGCTCTTTTCCAAATCTCTTGTCTGTGATAAATGGTTTACATCCAAAATCAGTATGCATATTCTCGATACTGTTCCCTTTACATATGCAAAGGTGCTGACAAGGAGAACTTGTCGATCGTTTCCTCTATTCTTTTGACTTAATTGTTTGATTCAGGGGTGAAACTGTAAGGAGAAATTAGATGCTAGTCACTCTTAGAGGTTTAAGGGTTTAGACTAATGTTTACGTTCACCCTCCAGCTGATTGCTTTTAAAGATGAAAATAATTCGAAGTGTGCTTTAAAAAATTGCACCTCAAAGGAAATTTAACTGTCACTGATGGCTTGGGGAAATTCCATGTCTTTTGAAAGCTCTTTATCTCAGTCTAAATTAAAAAAATGAAAGTCCTGTTACGTTCACATTAAAAAAAAAGATTCTCATCTAATTTTTTTTTACCTCCCCCTCTTCCTTAAATAAACCATCTCGCTTTCAAATGGTGAAATGGTCAAACTGCAATAAAATTAATCACAAAGCCATTGTGTGGAGAAAAATACGGACAAGTATTATTTCCTACAGTCGTTGAATGATGGTAGGGAGAGGTTTGGACTTATTATAAACTAATAAAGCGGTAATGCATCTTGGTGTTCAATTTTATTCCGAAATCATCGTTTTCAGTACGTTCAATTTTGAAATCACGGGTACGATTGACACCAAATTGCATTCAGCTCACTTCAGTTACCATTATTAATTGACCAATTAACAGTCAGGAGTACACTCTTATCCGAGTCCTGTAATGATTTTATCACAAGTCATTTGTTTAAAAAATTACCTCTGAAATAATTTAAGGCCTGTTTCTTGAACTTTCCTTTTAGAACCTGCTGCTGCTCCTTTAGACGTGAGAGGACATAACACCAGCTCAACCAGCATCTTAGTAGAGTGGGATGATGTTCCAGCTTTTGATCAAAATGGTATCATCACGAATTACACCATTACGTACCGGTCACTAACAGAGGGTCACAATGGGAGTGCTATAGCTGGCCCCTATGATCGTCCAAAGGAATTAACAGGTCTTAGAGAGTACGTCGATTACGACATCACAGTGCTCGCGTCGACTTCGAAAGGAGGTGGACCACAAAGTAGCCCTATCCTTGTTAGTACAGACCAAGATGGTAAGTACTGTTCCTGGACAACCTCTCCTGTCCACGTTTAAGACTGCTGTTAGTGTTTACCCTCCAGTTATAGCTGGAAGGTATTGTAATTTAATTTCTTAGCTGTCTCTCTCGGGCTAAGACCCACCTTTGACTAGGACGAACGTTATTTTTTTTAGCATCCACAAATTTTTTTTCAGATTTCGTCAGTTCTAATCCGTGTCAATCCTCGCCATCTGTTATTATCTTTGTTTTTCTCTCCGGTTTTTTCTTATCCTCTGATGTTTTTTAAAGTAAAATATCTCTTTCAAAGCATCCGAGAATTTGCTTTACGAATTTAACTCCAAGACTCAGCAAATGGCCTTTCATTATCTTACCGTGACACCGCCAACATGGTGAAGATATGAAATAATGATTTTCATGCCACCGATTTACAGAACCCAGTGCTGCCCCTCTTAACTTACGTTCAATTAATGCGACTTCAACAAGCATTCTTGTCATGTGGGATGAAGTTTTGCCTGATGAACAGAATGGTATCATTATTCGTTACAACGTCAGCTATCAGGCGATACCAGAAGCTGGATCTGCTGGGCCTATTTATACGATTATAGTAAAGGCCCCTACAAGGCAGGTCTACCTGACCGTCCTAACAAAGGACATGTATTACAACATCAGTGTGTTGGCCTCCACAATCAAGGGCGACGGGATTTACAGCAGCCCAAAGACGTTCAGAACAAAAGAAGACAGTAAGTCCGTATTTTTCAATTACGTAACCTTTGAAAATTAACTCACGCGATATTGATTTCTCTAACCAATCGTAAGATGCGACAACATCATAAGGATCGGGTTGGGTCCGCTTCCGAGTAGAACGGTTTTCGTATGGATACATTAAGATACTGGTTAAATCCAGCGGGAGATGTACAATTGAGGCGTACTATTTCACGCATTTCACTTGATTAAACTCAATTGTTGAATATGACACAATTCAATATGATAGCAAGTGGGATTTACCTCCCAGTAGTCACAGAGACAAAATTCGAGTCATAGAGTTTAATCTTTGACCATCATACGGTATATGACAGAAATAACCTAAAATTTTTGCTCGTATGTCGGAGATAGTGTTGAACATCTATCGCCACTTCTATATTTCTCTGTCTTTACATAGGGCCCAGTGCACCTCCTCAGAATGTAATAGGCTATAACACCAGCTCGACCAGCATTAGAGTTACATGGAATGAGGTGCCGGAAGACAAAAAACACGGTGATATCGAATACTATACTATATTGTACAAAAAGATGACAGATATCAGTTATGAGTCAGTACCAATTACACCAATGTCTAGAAGGTTTATTGAGCTAAAGGGACTTAATATGTACACATTTTACGACATCAAGGTCTCAGCTGCTACACATGTAGGGAGTGGACCAGCAAGTGATCCTATCAAGGTCCGCACAGACCAGGATGGTAAGTAAAAGAAGACTTTCGATAAATACCTCAGCGGCTAAAACTCTGGAAAGAAAGAGCAGAAGATTCTGATTGATGACATAATTTTATGTGCGGATTTGCCTTTAGTATAGTTACCATACAAATTGTCATTTGGGAACAGGAAATACGGTTAAGTGTGTTTACTTGCTTTTCTGCAATAACCGTTGGTGGAAGTGTCTGGTAGAAGTATGCCAAAAGAGCTCCATGCTCTAAACATTGTGAGGTGTCATGACCTCAAATGACAATCATGGTTTAGTTATCATTTGTGAGATGTTTCACAGTCGGTTCGAAGTCTGAAGGATATGTGGAATTTGACTTTTGCTTCGTGGTTTAAAGGGAGACACAGGGGTGTTAAAAGATTTTTCGTTATTCAAACCCAACTGAGATTATTAAAATAGATTTTGAAGAGGGGCAGTAAATTCCTCAACTTCCTCCTTCTATGATCAGTATGAAAAGTCAACCCCAATTTTCAGTGATGCTAAACAGTAACGAAGTGCAGCAACTATGCGAAGATCGATCTGCTTCCCAAGTTCTGCTTTCGCTATGTAGCCAGTGTTAATAAAAGTCCCCCTTTCTCCTTTTAAGGAATCAATTTATCTCTCATTAGATGCGAGAAAAAAAATGATAATAAGTAAATGTCCTGTCTTTTTTTTACAGTGCCTTCTACGGCTCCTACATTAGTGTCTGTACAAACACTGAACAGCACTAGCATAAAAGTTAAATGGTTGGCAGTTCCTGAAGAATCCACACACGGAATTCCAACCAGATACACCATTTACTACGCATACTCCGATGGGAAGGTGGATACTAAGGTTGTAACACCTGTTAAGGATCCCATCACTTATCAAGAAGTTGTGTCTGATCTTAAGGAATCTACTGAGTATTCATTCCAAGTTTCGCTTTCAACTGCGAAAGGGGAAGGTCCCCTAAGTGTGTCCAAATCCTCTGCAACTGAAGGTGTATGTAAGTGGCCCAAATCATTCTTTCATAGCATTTGTATGTATTATCAGCAACAACTCGTATTGACTCGTCTCGTTTGAAATTTAACTTAATGAAAGACTTTTATATATGTCTACGCTGGTGCTACTTTTCGCACGATTCTTAAGCTATCAAAATAAATTAGAGAGTGTACTTTTACACCTATAAAAGTGCTCACTCTAATACCTTCTTAAGTGCCACTTCAAGACCATTTGAAGTCCACCCTTCCCAAGATTCCGAAGAGTGCGCACTTCAAGACTTTAGAAAAACTTTCTAAAATGCGCACTATATGACGACTTATAGCGTGCATTATAGAAAAAAATTATAGTGCGTACTTTAAAGACATTTTAGAGTGCAAACTTCGAGACTCTTAAAAGACTCCTCATATCACAAAGTGAAAGTTTCTTTTAAGTATAATGAACCTTAAATCAGGTTCGAGGACGTTCAGGTTCCTTAAAGAGCGCACTTAAAGACGCTTTCAAGTGCGCTCTGTTAGGCTTTAGAACGTACACACCTCAATGCTCTTTGAGATGCTCACCCTAAGACAATTAAAAGAGCGTATTTAAAGGCTGCTTAAAGTGCGCACTTTAGACATATGATGATTCTCGCTTTAAGATTCCAAGTTAGTTTGAAGATGAGGACACCTCTAAGTGCGTATTCAAGGACTCTTTAATTTCAGCTAGACCCGTTTTTAATTAATCAGGATCAAGAACGTTTGCCGGTTGTTATTGTTTATAATCTTGCTTTGCAATGTTCTAATGTCTTCTGATTTTTTAACACCACACTGTGTGTATCACTTGGTTTTGACTAATTTTCTGTTGACTTTAGGTAGCCACACTTTCCAGAAATAATATAAAGTGTTGGGTGATGTATTTCAGTGCTGCAGAAAATTTCTCTAGGCGGATTATACCTCAGAAACCATACCACGATGTACTTTTTATTTCCTTGAGTGAATAGTAATGAAATTATGACACTGAACATGCTTTAAGAATGTGAAAAGAAACATAACTGTCTGGAAATTGTCTTCAAATGAGCTGATTAGTTTACAGTACTTAGTGATCCGCCAGTTGGCTACAGCAGAAAAAGAAGGACATATACACTAGAAGAGAAGAACCGGAAAGGTTTAGTGAGTAATTTTCAAGTCACGGTTCCTGAACCTCTGGATTTCAGGGAAATCTGAGTAAACGCCACTGTAAGTACGTGACATTGCTTTGTTAATGAATTTATTCACCTTTTTGAGTTATTGTCTTTGGTTGATTACCGGACACCCAGACTTCCTATTGAGATTGTCCCTTCCACTTCTGTCCTGTTTTTTCAAACACATGACCTTTCTCGCAACAGCTGTAAATGACATGGTCGTAAATGGTCATAAGTGGTTGTAAATAAACCTTATGCACTTAAAGTTGTTTACTTTATTTGCCTTCAGGGATGAGAGATTCTAAAGGAGCAGTTATGACCGGACAGGTTATCAGTTCAGTTTGCGAACCAACTGGGCTTTGATGGAACTTAATAAATTAAATAACATGATTTGTGCGATCGATGTTACAAATGAAACAGAAATGAATTCACATAATAGCACATGTCAACAATAAGTCTCTTTTACAGTAACTTCAATATTTCAGTCTGACTTCACTCTTATCCGAACAAGCCAGCCTGCATAGTTAACGGTAAACTTTTCCAGGGCCAGCAATCAAATCTGTGAATTTTTCTAATCACACGGTGTGGTACGGGTATGGTGCTCCTAAGTGTCTTTATTAAGCTTTTTCTTCTTTTTTTTTTTCTTTTTTTTTTTAAGGGAATTCGAAGTTTTGGATTAAATCCCTCAGGAAGAGGTTTAGAGGTAAGTTATCGTTAAAAGTCTTGAGACAAGATAAGGGTGGTGAACAGAAATGAATTAGTGCCTTACCTGTATTTATGCTTCAGTGACTTTTGTGGGCTACCTGGGTAGTCTTACTTTGAGGGTCTCAATGGGGTGATGGCTTTTACGGCTATCGGTTACAATTTTGGCCAATTTCCGGCTAACGGTTAACACCTTTCCATTGTTTCCACCAGAGATATTTTTTACGTTTAACTTTTTTTACGACTAACGGTTAAAAGTTGTCAATTTTTACGTCAGACGGCTAAATATTTGGCCGTTTTACGGCTAACGGTTAACCCCATTGGGACCCTCTACTTTCAAAGACAACCCTTTTTCTTTGGGAGTGGTCCGTACACCTCACGCCTCCCTCCCCTCCGCCCTCGAATTTTGAACGGGGGGGCATCTGAGAGGGCTAAATGAGTAAAAAATAAAAGGATAACAAAACAAAATTCACAAAGCGCGAAACACACAAACCACTAAATATAAAATACAGAACGCAAAACACAAAACACAAAACACAAAACACAAAACACAAAACACAAAACACAAAACACAAAACACAAAACACAAAACACAAAACACAAAACACAAAACACAAAACACAAAACACGAAACACAAACCAAAGAAAAAACAACTGAGAGAGTTAAACGAGATTCACTCTGAACTTTTGAATTTATCTTATTAGAATCGATCAAGGAATCCGCAAATAAAACACTACCTTGAGTGTGTACCACGGAAAAAACTTTGACACTTAAAAAGGCGTTTACAATAAAGGATGAGAATCTATGGTTCCCTGGGTACGTGCAGACATGATGACCGCCATAAGCACGCAGTGAATGATGGAGGGTACCCCACGACAAGCGAAAAGATTCACAATTTTCAATTTACGAATTCTACAGTAGTTATCAGTTACTCGGAATGGGAAGTGATATCTAAGTTTGTGTAGGCTCTTTGTTTATTTGTTGCTAGACTGGAAATTGGATTTTATTCTTATTACGCTCGCTTGTTTAGGTGAATCTTGAAATTTTTGCTGGTCTGTAAACTTATGATATCGGAAATATATGTTTAATTCTCGTTATATACATATATATATACATCATAAACCAATTACTGCATAGACAGTGCTTAGTGAGGATTTTATTCACTCTTTGCAACTAGTCAATTAAAACCCGTAAAAAGCACTTTCCATGAAGTAATCTACATTTTTTTGTTCAGTCCTACTGTGTTGTCAGTGAATTTTAGTGCTATGGGAAAACCCTCAAATATCAGCCGTCTTGTTCATTGAAGATCAAGAACGTTCATGAAACGTTTTCTCCAATTTTCATAACAACTTTCGCTTGTAGTTAAGCTCATACCAGAAACAAGAGGTGCGATTCTTTAATCGCTTCGAGGCTTTCCATAGAAAAGCGTTTCTTTCGCACGCATTTAACACCAATAGTAAGATCAAGAAATATTAATTGTGCGTTGACGAGTCACTGCAATACGAATAACTTTTATAATTTTTGAATTTGCGAGCCTTTAGCTCGATGCACTCATCGAGGGTCAAGTCTACCCTTGGGTACGCTGATATGAGATTGATTTTACCAGTGCAAATTTACACTACCCGCTCTCCCAATGCAGCGAAATTGTCACTCCGATAATTTTCTCGATCAGTTACGAGCTTCTCCGCCTCCCTTCGGCCAAAGTCCCTCAGGGCTACCGATTACAGAAGGTCTTTTGTTTGACGCTTAATGGAAAGGCTGAGCCGGAACAATGGACAATGATATGAAGACTTGCGAGATCAGTTCCTAGTTTGGTTTTTTGTTTTAGATCTACACAGGTTTCTTGATCAGCTGATCGTAATAAAAAGGAATAGGAAAAAATTGCACTATTCTTGAAAATCTTCTGTAGTGGACACGCAAATCATCTACAAAATTAGAGAAAAACTGTAGCCATGGTAAAGACCTCTGAAAGACCATCGCTTCGGTTCGATTCAGTCGGTTCGATTTTATCTCCTTCAGAAAATGTAACAACAGGTTCCATGTTTTGTCAAAATAGCAGGCTGGTGTTAACGAGCAGTCATGCATTTAATGACACTTACGATAGGCCGGTGTATAAAATCTTGGCATTGCTTGAATAGAGACAATTACGATATACTAGAATAGTGAATAGCGTCGAATGCTCGGTAAATATTAATCCCTTGCCACCTCTTACGTAAACAGGTGTTTAATACCCTGACCATTGAAAGTACGAGCATGGAACAAAATTATCTTTTATTGTAAGAATACAGCTAAAGCTTCAATTGTATAGAGATTGGACTGTCATCCGCTGAAATTATTTCTGCTTGACTCCAGCAAATGGTTCAGTTTATGCTGATTATTTTTCTACAAGATAGAAAACTTAACTATTTTCATCCACAGAACACAAGCTAGTCTCAGGAAATCCCGCCAGTAGGAGACATAGTCAAACAATTCCACTTTCACAAAAAGGCTGCAAAATCTGGAGCGAGGTTAACAAGGTTTTTGGCTGATTCCTTTGAAAAATGACTGAACCATGGTTTCTGTGAACTTAAGATTAATTTTTTTTTTTCCTGACAAAAAGTTGTCACCATATGTTTCAATTAACTCAGCCTAGAAACACGAAAAAATGAAATAAAACGTCAAATAAAACTTTCAATACAATTTGATCGATGAATCCATTCGCAAATTATGCTTTTAGATCTTGTTTTTTTTTCCCTGTGGTTTAAATTTGCTTTACATTAGCGAATCCCAATTTTTTTTTTTCCTAAGACTGTCGTCGGTCATGATCACAACCTAGTTTAGGCGCTTAGCGGTTATCCACATCATCTATCTATCCTTAGCAACTGGGTTTACATATCTGACTGAGTTAACGGCACTTTAAAGAAAATCGCCGCGTTTTTAACGACTTTATGTTGATTATTTCATCTCTAGTTAGAGCACGAAAGAAATTAATTCTTGCTGAATTTATAACTGTCCTTCATTCTTGAACGGGTGCAGGCACTCAGAAATTACTGTAGGCATCGAATGAGTCTAAATACTCACTGAGAGCAGAGTAAATAAACTCATATTGATCCTGAAAGAGTGAAAATCACTAGGTCAGCAATACATTCACAAGTGTACTTTCAAGTTACTAGAAAAACCTCAAATAGACTGCTCGGCCATTCCAGTTCCTATTAGACCCTTCTGATCTATCTGACATAAGTCTTGGTTGGTTCAAATTGTACTTTCTATTGTTTCAAAACAACACTTGTAACCTATAACATATGTTATTGACTGCCCACTCTCGCAGCCATGCAAGTAGAGAGCAAAATTAAATTCCAAGCGAGAAATAAAAGCCAATTGCCCTCTTCTGTGACGGTTTTTAAGTTGCCTTGAATACCTCACAAAAAAATAACACACCTTTGTCTGGACCATGGCAGGTCTCTCAACTCTCAGCTGCTTCACAGTCTGGAAAACATCTACCACACCTTCACTCTTTAACTGTCCGATTAAAATACTGAGGGCGCAGAACACTCCTGTGCGACCCACTCCAGCGCTGAAATGTGAAGTTGAAGATGAAGTTGAAGAAGAAAATAAACTTAGGGTCTGCTGTAAACTGCGCAAAAGGTTGTCTTTCCACTAGCATTTATTAGCGAAGGGCAATACCTGATATTAACATGCTACAAGAGTTTTCATTGATTGATAAATTAACATTTAAATGAATATAATAGTTTATAACGAGCGTAGTAATTGAAATATTACTGCAAAGTGGTATATAGGATGAATAAAAATACATGAATGTGTGCAAATTGGTAACATTACAACGTGCGCGTTTTAATATACCCAGTGAAGCAAGCGAGTAATGCCAAAACCGACAAATTGATATGGCTGTCATTCCACTGTTAGGAATGAAAAGATCTTCCCTAGGGCCTTAATTGTCCACTTATAGTTACAGGGTATAAATGTTTCGCAAAGGTGGAACGAGACTCAGGAGACAACGTTAGGACTAAGGAACACCAGTGAACTTAATAACGACTAAATGAGCATTTTTCAATTAGGACCAAAGCCAGACTATAATATATGCTTAATAATATTTTAATTATAAATACACACCTGCAGTGCACAGTAATCTTAGTGTTTTCTGACTGCTGCTGCCACCGTTGTACTTGCCCAATAAGATCGATCAAGCCAGTACCTGATTCTGGAGATCCTGAATCAGGCCATCCAGTGTAATGATATTGACGAACAACTCGGGATGCACTTTCCTGAAATATTGACAAGAGAAATGTGTGTGTTTGATAAATGCTGTCAGTAGAGATTTTAGGGTGCATGTGATCGCTTTGAAAAAGATAAAGCATGTCTTGGGAAATTGGCACGTTTTGTCATATTGCTATGGTCCTAAAAGCCTTTTATTAACTTAACCCCATTCTTCTCCTTCAATCTAGGAACCGCCATGGATGGATCTCCCCGTAACACACAAATTCTTGGCTAATTCCCTGACATTTTATTGGTAATAAACAGAAAGTTGCTGAAGATTAACTGAAGAGTCATCAGAACGAACCTTGGTATGGGTGAGTTTCATTTCTCTCATTGTGTAGTCTTCATAGGACGTCTCACTTGTCTTTTCCACTACCAAAGTGCCAATGTGCGCGGGCTTCTCTGCAGGCCAGTACTGGTGTACTTTGACCTGTACACATAAGATTAAGCTTTACAAATCGATTAAATCCAGAGTCAGATCAATTACATAGATAGACCTCCTACCCCATACAAGTTAATTCCCACTAAACGATGACTCGAAAGCTAAAGATATTTTAGTTGATGCTTAGTCATATCTTTTTTCCCTACAGCCGTTACGAGTAAATGGATGCATGTATCCATTCGCTGGTATTTAAATGAATATGTTTACATAAAGTTATGAGGAGTAACACTGCATGCATAAGGCAACGAAGCTTACAGCCGCTCACTAAGACCAACAAACTATTATAATCAGGGGTCTTACTATACTTAGGAGGACCCATCTACAAGTAAAGAAGGCTTTTTTATAGGTCTCTCAGAAGTTGCTCACGAAAGTCGCCTTTTAGGAATACATACTTACCCATAACCGACATAGAATGGGGGTCACTTACTAATGTAAGGCATCTCTATTAACCCCTGCAAAAATAACATCCCTAACAAAGAAGGTAACCTTTTCCTAGACTGATGGATTGATTGTTTTAGTTGATTGATAAATTTTCGGTTTATTGAGCATACCTTGTCACCTTCTGTTTCTTTTGATAACACGACTATGGTGGAAGATTCTTGTTCCCAAATCATGCGCCAGAAGTCTGGTATAGTATCAGGTATGGGTGCCTGAGTTGCAATGAATGCTCTCCTAGTCATGTAGCCATCAATGAAGTTAGCATTGATGTAATCAGAGCCTTCCATTCCTGAGATTACACTCAGTTTAACCCGGGTTTCATCATACGGTAACGCATTTGGATAACGATTCTTGTTCACGTTGCAGGCCATGCTAGCAGCCTGAGCTGTGAGTTGGGAAGTGTTGATGCAGCGACCTAGCCGGATGAACTCCTCATCCATCTCACTTTGGCCTAACAGCATAAAAAAAATGACCTTATCACATCAAATCGAACAGAGGATGAATAATACTCTCAAGGCCGACTGAGGTTGAGAGAAATTCGTTTGATCAGAGGAAATTTTTCGTGAAGTTTCATCATAAACCTTTTTTAAAGCCTCGCAACCAGAGGATGTTACATAAGAAAACCGCTACATTTATAAAAACACAAGTGGAATGAAGCACCATCAATAAAATGGTTTTGTAATCGCCATTAAGCCTAGAACTCACAGAGTAGCACTTCTATGGAGTTATTTCCAATTCGTAATATGAATTAGATAAGGGATTGACAGGATGGTATATGTTGGGAAAGACACATACCGCTCGTTTGATTCACTTGCATGAGGTTCTTGATATGAGATCTAAGATCATTTGCGTGTATTTCAGTGAATCCGGAATGGATGGCCTCCACCAGGACGTCATGAATCAAAATGTACTGCTCTTCAACTTGTACCATAAAATTTCTATCTTGTCGCAATGAGGTGACATATTCATAGACATCCACTGTTTTCTCTGCAGCAATGCGGCGCAACATTGCGTCTACCACAATGAATGTACCAGTTCTGCCCACCCCGGCACTGCAGTGAACAACCTGAATGAAAATTCACTAATGATATATCGGAACTAATAAAGGACCAAATATGTGTGCCTTTTTTTTTCTGCAGTTAATATTTGCTTAGATTGTGGAAACTTTCATGTCAGTCATCACTTGTTTCAGAACAAGATGATAATCCCCTGTGCTCAGTTACAAGATGCAACATAACGATCACTGAGAGAGAAGAAAAGGATTTTTTTTTGTTTAATTTTTTCTAGATTAGAAGTTAACAATAATATTTCCACTATGCAATATGCCATTTTCCTTACTAGAGAACATTTAGCTGATTGTACGCCCCACCACTCATTTAAATTCTTTCTCACTTCTTCCTGCGAAATATAAGATAACTTACCATAGGCCCTGCGTCCGGAGGATTTTGCTCTAGAAGCCTTTCTCACAAATGTGAGAAGTGAGGAAGGACACTCGGGAACACCATGGTCAGGCCATACCGTGTAATGATACTGATTTACAGTTCGTTGTTCTGAGTTATCGGCGTGCTTTAGAGTCATGGTACGGATGGTGAATTCAGTGAGCTGCACCGTCTGCATCAAGGTTACTCGAATGTCACCATACGATTCTGCACCTTCTGATGGCCAATACTGGTGACACTTCAGGCGACCCTTCTCCTCCAAGTTTGTCACCTAGAATAGGGTGAACGGGCATACTTCAAGCGTTTCATGGTGAACTGTGTTAGGTTATTCACAGGGATGAAGGAATTGGGTGAGCACCTCATCTTTCTCAAATCCTCTCTCCGACTAGGATTATAGGCGGGCACTCGCAAATTGTCGAGGAAAACTGATAATATCGAACGGGTGAGGGGAAGGGGTGGGGGAGGAGTGGTGAAGCATCAATGGCTTAACATTTCATTCCGAAGAAATAATTCCTTTCTAAACGGTTCATGTTACAAAAACCACAGACTTTTACACACACAATCGACTGGAAAATTTTAATTCTGTAATATGAAAGAAATTCAAATTCTTTTAAAGATAGGCATGGAAAGATGTGACACTTTCTCTTATGGCTACGCTGCACAATGCACGGTAAAATGAACATGACGCAACTAAATCATTACAAGTGATCGACGTTGATTATTACTTATTATCAGAAAGCACAAACCATGACGATTGTTTTTGTCCCTTGCTCCCAGACCATTCTCCAGAAGTCATCTGAAGTGTGTTCAAGTGGTCCTTGGGTGGCGATATATGCCTTATCCTTCTGATAACCGTCAAGGAAGTTGGCGTTAATGTAGTCAGAGCCCCGCACACCCTCGATTGGAGTCAATTTTACTCGGCTGTGGTCGTACGCAACGATATTGTTGTAACGGTTCTTGTGTTTGTTCTCCTCGGCCAAAGTGGCTTTGGAAGTAACATTTCCTTGAGAGCGTATAGCACCATACTCAACAGAAAATAAATCATCCTCTTGAAGGCGTTTCACGTGGTCTTCAAACTCCTCGACAGCTATTTCCCCTTCTGGATCGAAGTTTTCTAAGTTGAATAGAAAAAAATTATCAGTTTATTATTTCATTTGCACAAACAAAGGTTCTTTATCTCAATCTTTGAAGAGAGCCAATGAGCAGGTTGCTATCTTTCAATTCTATTCATGATAACATACGCACTCATGTACCGGTTCAGTAAACTGTCGCTTATGAAACCCCCCCCACCGTTACATGCCCTTTTACTTGTAAATAGATATGCATCCAACTATAAGCGGCCTTTCATGTTTTGAGATAGGTAGGGAACTAATTTTACAAAGACGTTTTGAAGCCTAATTAATCAAAAGCATAGAAGCCCCGCCGCTTGTAAGTCTCCCCTAGAACCCCTTTCGAGGTTTATAAGACCAGAGCTTGTGAATTGCAGTTTACCGTTTATTCAGTAATATTATTTTAAAGCAGCTCTTGTTAAACAAACTTAATGTACGAAAATGACTGTTGATTGTGCAACGATGGTACAAACATGGTTCACCATTATTATTAATTGTATATTTGAAATTCAATACCAATCCTCGTAATTCGAACCCCCACTAATTCAAAATAGTTAGCGGAGCTAACTACAATTAAGTTCCAGTTTTCAAAGCTCATTCTCTGAGAAATAAATTTTGGAAGATGGAGAACGATGTCATGGGGAACAATGTCTCATGGAGATGCTCTCTTTGGTATTGAGTTGGAGAGCTTGACAACAGACTCTGTGTGTTAAAACCTGCTCGTGCGATACGTAAAATAGTATCACAGACGACGAAGAAAAGCTCTATCAAACATTGTTATCGTAAGGCAAATGGTTACAGTAATGTAACAGAAGCCAAACAAATTTTAGGCAAACCAAAAAGAGGCAATAAACAAAGAAATTACATCAACCTAGAGATATTTAAACTAGGTGGTGAACTACAACATACCGTAACCTTGTTCTTCCAAAGATATCTCTTCGCCGTCGTCATTTGCATTATTCTGCCGTCGACCGCGTAACCAGACAATCACGATTCCGCCAACAACAACTACACACACTATGAACAATCCTATAAATACTCCAACAACAATCAGGTGTTTGTTCTTCTTTCCAGGTGTTGGCTCTTCTTCTCTTGGAAGGGTTTTGGTTGTAAACTGAGAAAATCCCTCATCTTGATAATAACCATTTTCGCTAAGGGAACGTTGAAAAACAGCGTACTCCGTGTCGTCATCAAGCTTACCATTAAAATACTTTGTATAGACTAAACGAAAAAAAGAAAGGAAAGTCGAAAACACTGAAAATTAAATGCAAGATTTGATATCCAAGTAACATGAAAGAGCCGCAGAACCCACCCCCAACATTCCTAACAAACCTTTGGGTCTTTCTACTAAAAGGGTAATTAATATTAGCAACTGAGTTGATGACATGAATTGGCTGCCGTAAAGAGTTTAAAAGCTGACGTGTAGGGCGTTAGACCTTCGCCATTCACTCTGACGAAGGGCTAACACTCGAAGCGTCAGCTTTGAAACTCTTAAAGGTGGCCAATTTACGTCTTCAACTCATTTGACAATACTTATTACCCTGTTATATTCTTCCACTGACGCAGCACCACAGTTTCTTCAGAAACTTATCCACTCATCTTTTTTTCCTACCAATAGTCTGACACCAAAAGTTGCATATTATTACTCGACTGGCGTTTTTTTTTAATACCATAGTGAGTGAAGGGGAGGGGAAAGTATGATTCTCTGGATCGTCATGATCGTCTGAATAGTCTTGGAAAAGTTTTGCAATAATCGAGGCAATTTCGTGGAAATACGACCAAAACAATTGGGAGGTTTGGACGGAGTGTTCTTTGATCCACACAGTAGTGTTCCCTTTAGATCGCCACAATTTTCTTTATCTCTTGAGAACACACCATGATCGCATGGAATCTAAGCTTAAGCAAGTTTAATTTATGTAAAGGACGTTCAATTATCTTACTATAATTATTTTGCCCGTCTCCATTTCGATCGCTGTATTCATACAGACTGATGCAATCCAACAAGTAGGTAAGGAAATACATATAACAAAATAGATACACGGAGTCAGCTTAATCAGTTTGTGCAACTTAAATCTGTATTTAAGTATAATTTGTAATTCAGATCAACTGTGAGAAAGTTTATAATTACAATTACTCACCTCCTCTGCGCTTTCTTGCCACAACATGACTTCCTCTTGAATAGTACTTCCCATCTCCAACAGGAAAGGTTTTTCTCTCTTCGTTATTGTTAGAAAATTCAGCCGTAATGTAGGGTTCACCCTCCGATTTATCTTCATACCTTTCGACGACATCAACATATTTCTTATCTGATGGTTTGCCAGGATCTTTCCCTTCTTCTAGTGGTACGACGATGATTTGGTAGTAACTGAAATAAATAAAAAAAGGTATTTATTAAGCAATTTTGAAAGTCAAAACCCAGTTTAATGGCATCCCATTAAAGTAAAAGAGGAATTAATAAAAAGAGCGAATTCTAAAACGAGCAAATAAGTAAGGTTTTAACATGATATCTGCTCAACCAAACTTTAGATGATAAAAGTGAAAGCACGCAGTGACCTTATTAAAATTATCACGACTTAGAAAAAAAAAATCAAATTTCAATAACAGAGTTAACCCTTTAACTCCCACGGGTGACTAAGACAGAATTTCTCCATACCAAATCAATACACTATCAAACAGACAAGTGATGAGAATAAATAAAAATATCAGCTTGGGGATTACTAGTTGATTCAATACCAAATTCTCATCATAAGAATTATATAGCAGAATGTGAGGAGAATTACTAATGAGATCCGGGAGTGAAAGGGTTAAAATTCCTTTGTAGGAGATATTTGCATGTAATAATTGGTGTGATTTATTGAATTAACTTTGAGATTAGACTTTTGGAATCATTTACAATTCAATCTCAAGCTAGAAAAACAGACAAAAAAAAACAACAATGTATGAACTAAACAATTCTAACCTGACTTTTTCTCCATTACTCAAAATTTGCCTGGGCTCAAAGGCAACAGAAACTTCCTCTGCCCCAATGTCGCCACTAGCAGGTGTCGGAGGGATGGGTGGGTCTTCAACGAAGAGAAACACTGATAAATGCAACTCAAATGCAATGCAATTAATTCAAATAAAATTTGAAAGAAAATATTTAGAAATTACATGAAATACATTAAGGAAGACGGTAAATCTTAAAAATCGAACGACGAAGTAAGTCAGTAAATCATTTTTTGGTAACTTTTACTGTACTTCTGTAATTATAGATTTACGTCGATTGTTACATAAGTCCTGCCATTGCATGTTACCATAGTTATTGTTACCATCATTATCATTATTATTATAATTAACATTATCATTATTATCACAATCAACAAATCAACATAATAAACATTATGTTGATTTGTTGATTGTGTGGTAATAATGATAATCATTGCCTTTAAATACAAAGTACATCATCTAATAGTTTTAGTTGTCTAAGGTCGTTCTTATGATCTTTGCAGTATCCAATAGACAAGCTTTAACCCTTTAACTTCCAAGATCCGGTTGTTAATTCTCCCCACTAGCTATTACATATTCCCTTTTTAATTAATTACAAGAATTTGATGTTCGATCAAGGGAACAACTTCTACCCTATAAGTTTGAGTACTCTAATTACCTGTTTCCTGTTTAATGTATGGATATAATAGGAAGAAGTTACATGCCAATCACCTCTGCGAGTTAAAAGGGTTAAATAGAAAACCAGTGATGCAAGGCCAACTATCTTTTTAACCAAAGGATGAAAATCTTAGGTCATTGTTCCAGGTGGTCCAATGACAACAGGAGAGAAGGATGTTTTCCTTTATTTTCCGGTCTTTTGAATTTCTTTCTAAAGATCTTGATGAAATTCTTTCGTATCTTTTCCTTTTTCTCACACTCGTACAATAAGAGGACACGTAACGTCTTTTATGTAGCATGACCTTTGTTTCTCATCGTTATCACTGGCACTATTATCATTATTATCATTATTGAAATCATTGTTATGTTTGTTGATGTCATTATTACCATCAATATTATTAAAAAGAGAATAAATCAGAACATTCTTCACTTGCTTTTATGCTGCATTTTATCCTTTTCCTTTTTTTAAATTAAAGATTTACGAAAAAAATAACAAAGATTTTTTTTAAATGATTAGATAACGTCAAAAAGTTATTACTTTTTCTAAATTATCATTTTTATTGCTAAAATCATTGTTATCATCATTATTAGCTATTTAGTTTGTTTTTCTCACCATCCGTTCTAGCTCCCGTGGGTTTACTCAGTGGACCTTCACCTTTGACAGTTGCAGCCGAAATTTTAAAGGAGTAAGTAGTCGATGCTTTGAGCCCATTTATAACCACTTTTTTTCTATATCTTTCCACGTTCCTTCGTATTATTGTCTCGCCATCCGTATACCTTATGATATACTCAGTGAGATTGCCATTCAAATCACGCTCAGGAACAGGTTCCCATGCCAATTCAATACTAGTACTGTTCTTTGTTACTGCAGGGATCCATTTCGGTGCTTCGGAAGGTGCTGAAACGCATATAATCAATTTTAAGGAGTTATACATGTACAGTAAAATACAATTGATTTACTTCAAGTCATCGTCTTGTTGGTCACTGCTTTTATCAAATGACTCATAAGGCCCTGCGCGCGCAATCCCCTAGAAAAACACAGGGAAAGCTGACGTCCGTGGGGCCGGACGGGTTGACGCGAGCCAGTCCGAGAGAAGCCGTCCGCCCTTGCACTCAAGCAGCTTTGTTGCAAAAAACTTAACGGAAAAAAAGAAAAGAGTGAAAAAGTTGCGTTTTTTGATGAATTGTGAGTTTCTTGTTCTCACTCAAGAGAAAAAAAAAAAGCTGGAAAATTTTATATGTAAATTATTTTGTGGTTGTCCCTCTTTCTCGTCATATTTAGGTTGAAATAACTCTTTTGAATTTTCAGCACTGCGTGGTCAAATGATATAACGCTTATTGACTGAGTTTGGTCGTGTAGGACGGGAAAATATTTGGCTCTTGGTCGTGATGTAAGGAACGAGTGCGACTCTTCTGGACCACTAATATAACGAAGTAAAGGAAAACCAAACAAATATTGGATTACTTTGACTCTGGGTTGAAAGTTGCTCAAAAACCTTGACACGCATAGTGGTTATGGTTTGTCGATTTATCAGTTGTTGAGAGATATCGCTTCCATGGGAACATCCAAAATACGGGGAAACCATTAATATTCTCAAAAAATGCACAGAACAGTCATGTTTTGGTACTGTCGGAGTTGCTCTTCATGAAAAAATTAAGATAGGTGCGTGTTGGTTGAATATTAGTGATTACGTAACTTAGTATGTTTTGAGCACTTTGTCGACAGAAATCTTCTGAGCAACTGGACGACTGTTTAAGCAACTCACCATCTTCATCTGTCTTTCTCTCCTCAATTTCACTACGACCACTGACACCCTTGCTGTTGAAGGCCTGTATGGCGAACTGGTATGGTGTGTACTCATCTAGAAATGCTAGTACTAAAAACGTGATATCGGCTCCATTAACAGTTCTGTTCTTCCATGATACCTCTGGCTTGCTTTTTCTCTTGTACAGGATGTAATAGCCCAGAATATCACCTCTAGCGTCTTCCTTAGTGAGCATCTAGATGACAATAATAATAATACTAAACTGTGACGAGAGAGCCGAGTAGAATAAAATTAATCAACAAAGGTATCAAACTGCTATTAATTTCAACATGTTGAGTAATAATTCACTCACACGGTATTTTAACCATGCTCCTTTCGGTTTCCAGTCTCTCCAAGCAATAATGATGAATATTAGTATCTTTTAGCCACAATTACTTGACAAATATACCACATGCAACATCACTTCCTAAATTGTATTGCAGTACAATGCGATAGATTCATTTCTTTAGCTCCTGCAGCCATTTCAAAAGATGTTTATGCATTCATTGTAATGTTAGCACAGTTGTGACTACTCGGAACCACTGTCAATTAGTAAATAAGTCACCAAGAACTGTTGCGAAAAAAAAAGTGTCCAACCTGCCCGCTGCGCATGTCTTAGTATTGTCTTTTCTGAGTGTTATAGAGCAAAGCTATTTTAAAAAAAACTTTTGATAACGGTGTCAGTGGAGCAGGAAACTCTAATAAATGCTAAGTGAAAAAAAGTGGGTTTACTACCTGCCAAGAAACGTTAACAGCAGTAGAATTGAGGACAGTCACGTTAAATGGTGGAGCGGAACTTGGTACTGTAAACAAATAATAGCACATTTTCTCCCCGTGAGTTCCAAGAAATATAGAATTGAAGTATAGAATTTTTATAACAAAGCCCAATGGTATAATAGCAATACATTTACAGTTAAAAAAGTCAACTCAAAGCATAGGTAAAGCCTAGTGCAGAGTTAAAAAACAACGGACAAAACATTGCAAAAAACACAAAAAAACAAACAGACAAATGACACGAAGTAAATGTAAGACAAGTGTTAAAAGCTCAACATCAACTTAATCAATTTATCAGTTGCCGAAGGAATCTTTAAAATACAGGTATATGATAAGATTTATCAAATGAAAAGGAACTTAAAATATTAGAAAAAGAGCACCTTCTTCTTCGGTGGTAACATTTACTACAGAGCTGTAGTTACCAGGACCAATCATGTTCCTGGCAAACACCCTGAGGTAATATGTTGTCCAAGGAAGCAGCTCTTTGATAGAAACTCTTGTGGAGTAAATCACACAATTATTCTTTAAGAGTGTTCCTTGACATATGGCATCTCTGAAAGTCTGATTATCTTCACGGATTTCCACTGTGTAGTTCTGAATAGCGCTGTTTCCATTAGAACCAGCCGTCCAGGAGACATTCACTTCCCGTGAAGCTCTCGAGATCACTTTGACATCCTTTGGTGGGTCTGGTACATCTGTAGGAAAAAAACAAACAAACAAAGAGACAAAAAAAGGAAACAAAAAAGAACAAGAAATTAGAATTAACGTCAACGATTTCTAAAAGTCTCCACCGAAAAGCTAAGGACAAGGTTATAGAGGGCAATTAGCATTATGAAATGTTGTCTTTTTTTCCTTTGGCAACGTTTCCTCTCATATCATACTACGGCATACAGCTTATGAACGCAACAAAGCAATTTAATAAAATATTGCATGTCACAGCAATACAGGGCATTTAAAACTACACTGGGTAATATCTGAAAACATTTCAAGCGAATTTACTCACACTGCACTGTGAGGGTAGCTGCAGATGAATTTGATATATTCTTGCTGTTTTCAGCTACACATCTGTATTGTCCTGAGTCTGAGCGGTGAACTTCTGCAATTTCTAAACTGTGATTATTTTTCCTTGAGGACAAGTTAAATCGACTATTTTCTGTTACATTTAGGTCTCTTCCGTCCTTTGTCCAAACAACACTGGGTGTTGGGTTCCCCACGACTGAACAACTAAAAGTCACACTATCTCCTCTTACTATTGTGACATTCCTCGGATGTATGGAGATTTCAGGTGCAACTAAAAAAAAACATAGTAATAAATTAGAAAATCGTGCAAGTTTGGTAAGTTTCAGATTTCTCAATGCGAAATAGAAATTATTATTCAATTACAAGCTGAAAACATTTACTCAAGTGTCCATAGCTGCATAGTAGTGCGGTTCCAAAGCTGCTCTTACTTTTCTTCTTAATTCTTTCTCGTGTCAAATTTTTCTCAACTTGTTTCTGTTTTTCCTTTCGTCTGGGATTTGTTAACTCAAACGTAATGTGACTATCTGCAGCAGACATGTTTGCCGCTTGACGTAATTCGCAACCCAAGAAAGTGTCCTTAAGAGCCACAGTACAAAACTGGCGACCTTGAATTTATCTAAACTGGGAAGCTTAAAAGCCGCTGTTTAACTAACCGTTAACCTTTTTCGAACCAAAACATTACGGCCTTTTTTTTGGGACTAACGAGCCCTAGTTAATGATCCCAATAACTCGTTGTCTCATGAATATTCCGCTTACTTACACTGAACATCTACAACAGCAGCCATAGACGTATCATTTCCAAGGCTGTTGTTCGCCACACATCGGTATGCTCCGCTGTCTACTCGGCTCGCTTTGGTAATTGCCAACTGCTTTTTGTCTGCTGAAAAGCTGATCCTGGAATTGTTGCCAATGTCAGATCCATCTTTGGTCCAAGATAGAGTAGGGAGCGGATATCCAATAGCATTACAGTGTAACGTAACGCTTTCTCCCTCTGTTTCTGTCACATTACTAGGATGAGTGGTAATCTCACTTTTATCTACGATTGTAAAACAGTTGCAATGAACATTAGCAACACTAGCTATAAGCGCCAATATGTTTTTGAATTCGACAATTCAATGGTCGTTCATGTTTACAGCAGACATGGTTGAACCAATTGAATAACCTGCAATAACAAAATGACTAATTTTTCCAGACTCTCGAGCTCACTTTCTACCGAATAAGTTACAAGAATTCAATGAATACTTTACTGGGCCCCACTGAAAACCGCCTTGGCGAGCTGGGTTCCTTCATTAAAAATCGTTATTATTATTATTATTATTATTATTATTATTATTATTATTATTATTATCATCATTATTATTGTTAATACTTACATTCTACAACTAATGTAGCAGCATCTGAGCTGGCATTACCAATGCTATTGTTTGCCACACAGTGGTATTTTCCACTGTCTGTTCTGTACACATTTATTATCGTCAACTCGTTGCTCTCTGCTGAATAACTGATACTGGAATTATTGCAAATAGAATGTCCATCTTTTTTCCATGATATTGCTGGTGATGGATTTCCAGTCGCGTTACAATAAAAGGTGGTGTTTTGTCCTTCCTTTACCTTGTCATCAGAGGGATCAGTGATAATTTCCGGTTCATCTGAAATGAAATAGATAGACGGATATGAATTTTATCCTAGTTCCTCATTCACACAGTATCTCTATACAAATGGTACTCGGTTAATTATTCTGAAAGGTATTCACCTTTTCCAACGAAAAAAAAACGTTTTTGCTGACATATTAATCCTGTTGTTGCTTTTCACAGTATTTTCAAGTTTAAACCATGAAAACTGTGGCTCTGGATTTCCGGTAGCATTACAAGTTAAGGTCACATTATTTCTTTCTGCCACCGTAACATTCTGCGGATGTTTTGTTATCTCAGGGCGATCTGAAACGGTTCCAATTTAGAATATATGTTACCATATCGCTTACAAACAAGCCACTATATACACTAACTTACGATAGCAACTAGCATTTTCAAAATACAGAAACTAGTCACTTCCCATCGAGGCAATTATCTCCTCTTAAAACATGAACTAGACCAAGAGTAAGCATGTCAGTAATTAGCTTGAAAATCATCGGAATTCTTTCGGTCAAAATGAGTATTTTGAATGAAATGCGAGGATAAAATGTATAATTCTCGAAGTATATGTTGGTAATCTAAACTAAGCTTACCTAGGTAAGAAATTAAAAGCAATGAATTCGATCAAATTTACTGTATTTAAGCGGGTTAGCAGATTTAATCGAGATAATCACACGAGTAAAATGAAACATTCGAATTACAATATCAAAACATTTTGCTTAAGTTTATGGACTGAAACAGTGAATCTCAACAAATTCAGGTTAACAAGATTCTTTTCGCACACTACAGAGAATTTAATCCGCTTACATTGTGAATATCCGGAGATTTAAATTGATATAATCGATGGGCAGCCAGGGCCTATACCTCGGATGGAAGTCAACGAGGCTGATTTCTACTTCCAAATCCGTTAAAATTCTGTCTTCGAATAATGGAAAATTCCTTTTATCTCCTTGAGTAGATGAATAAAACACTAACAGTAATAGGACGAAGAATCAGCGAAAAAGACGCCCTCTGAAGGTAAAAATTCAGGCAAGAAGATCGTTCATACTAAAAAAGCATAGGTTGATCCAAAAGGAAGAAGAAAGAACTGCCGATGAAAAAATAATTACTGCTAGAGCTGCAAAAGCAATTATTATGAGGTATCCATATGACACGTATTCTGATTGGCTGAAACAGCGTGCTTAATCAGAGTAGATTTTCTGCCGAGCTTGAGAGAGCCAAGTAAATACTCGACATTCCATGATGGATTTATGGCACATCCAAAGGCCTACTAGTGCTTATTCATGGCTAATTTAAATCACTTACACTGAACATTAATCGTGGAAGCGTTCGAAGTATCCGCTCCAACTGAGTTGTTCCCTCGACATGTGTAATCGCCACTGTCTATTCTGTTCACATTCCTTATTGTCAACTGTTCATAGCCTGGAGACAAAATGATCCTGAGCCCGTTACTTATAGGATATTCATTCTTGTACCATGATATTGTTGGAACTGGATTTCCAGTAGCGTTACAATATATAGTCACGTTTTGACCTTCTCTTGTTCTGATATTGTGAGGATGCGTCGCGATCTCAGGTTTATCTGTAGATAAATACAGTATTACCAAAAAAAATTATTATAAATATCAATTTCGAGTTATAGGAATTGTTTTCCAAATGTATTAAACAGTTCACAACTTGTCCGCTGTTTAATTTATTGCTAATGATATATATATATAAGTGTTGCGATAGGGGAAAAAACAGAGAGACTATACTTTCATCCCTACAAGCCTGTTTCGTGATTGCTCACTCATCAGAGGATTTTATCGTTAGGAATATTCGTACTATCGTTTATATACTTTACAAATTTGCATAATAGGAAAGTGATTTTTTTTAGCCCTCTGTGTCATACTTTCATTCACTTGAGCTCAGTTCACTTAAATATGTTTTGTTGGTGTGAATGGATATTAACTAGACTATGCTCTGTGGAATTAAACAATTCAGCGAGACAAATGACTCATCTGAATAAAGAGAAACGTTTCCGTGCGCAATCCGGGGCTTACAATACGATTATCGTTCGCTCTCCATTTATGATGGCGAAAACTGAAGTGTAATGAACGTAAGAATACAAATAAATTATTATTTAGGAAAAACCCCTTTTGGTAATCTCTGACTTGTTTTGAAGCGAACAGTATATATGCTTGTAATACTTCAAAAAATGGCAAAGCTGAAACGTAGCTTCAGCAGCAAAGGGGGACATGTAGGATACTGAAAATCTCCGTAGAAAAAATGCAAACATGGCTCGTGACTTGCAAGGCTTATAAAACAGTCGGTTCGGAAAGTTCAAAAAAGAGCACGAACTTATGAAATAACCTGAAAGCGCACTTCGCTGTAGGCCTTGTCTCGCGTCTGCTAACAGTACATAATTGTATTAATAGTGCTTTACTTACATTGCACATCTAATATGACAATTATCGAGGTATCGTTTCCAACTCCATTATGGGCGACACACAGGTATCCTCCGCTGTCATGTCTGTTCACATCTGTTATCGTCAGGTGCGACGTTTTTGCTGACATATTAATCCTGTTGTTGCTTTTCACAGTATTTTCAAGTTTAAACCATGAAAACTGTGGCTCTGGATTTCCGGTAGCATTACAAGTTAAGGTCACATTATTTCTTTCTGCCACCGTAACATTCTGCGGATGTTTTGTTATCTCAGGGCGATCTGAAATGCACAAAGAAACTCTCTTAGTAAGGCTATGCGTAGAAATTGTTTTCACAATTATGTTACTATACAACAAGTTGTGCTCAAATTCTTGAACAAAAATTTTTGCGTATATCTTGAACAAGTGTTCAGTACAGTTTTTAGCAAGATGATGGAGATATAATGGAGTTATCAAACGTGTTTTACATGGATAAATCTCTTTATTTAGTAGTTATTTCTAATAGCTGTCATGTAAGATGTGCTCACTTCCAAATTTTTTAACCCTCTAACTCCTAGATCAAATTTGTTATTCTCCTCAATGCCAACCGTAAAATTTTTATAATGTTAATTCAGAGAATTTAGTACTGGATCAAATAATTATTCCCTAATCGCTATTTTTCTTTATTCTCATTACTTATCTGCTTAATATTGCATTGACACTGTAAGGAGAAATTCTCTCTCGATCACTCATGGGAGTTAAAGGGTAAAAGTATATTCCCGACCACCTTATTACGGCCATTCATGGGAGAGTTTGTTCTCCGACCAAATTATTAATTATTTCTTACGAGCATTTCGTAATCGTTTTCGAGGACTCAAAAAAGAAGATTTTAAAATATCGATTTCCCCGTAGACGTTACCTTAAGGTGTTTACTGCGAAAGAGACTTTGCGTATTAAAATGCTCTGTTCTATTTCTAATCGATATCTTAAAGGACAATGCAATGAACTCACATTTCACATTTAATTCAGCAGCTTCTGATGTGTCGTTTCCAAGTTTGTTGCTTGCCTCACATCTGTATTCTCCACTGTCCTTTCTGTTCACATTCGTTATTGCCAAAACTTTATTGACAACTGAATAACTGATCCTCGAATTGTTAGTTATAGGCGATTCATCTTTAGTCCATGATGTTGTCGGTGATGGATTTGCAGTATAATTACAAGAAAAGGTCACGTTTCCTCCTTCTTTTATATCCACATTTTTAGGATGAGAAGTAATCTCAGGTTTATCTGCAATTTTGAAATCAATCTTGTTAGCAAAGGGCAAATAACAGATAAACAAAACGTCTGCATAGAAATGCATACATGACTGTACATCCGTTTTCTGTTATAAAAAAAGCATAGGATGAAATTTTCCTGCAGAGTGTAGGAGCAAATGTTCTTCAAAGGCCATGTTTATTAAACAATAATTATAACAAAAGTTGACTATAGCGGAAACAAAAAAAAAGGGTGAATTGGAGAAAGAAGCATGAAATCTGCTGACAGCCGACGCCGAGTGTCAAAACGCTATGCATACCCTGGTAAGAGAAAGTAAAGTATTCATACCAGTACAGTAGTGAGATGAGAACTTACATTGGATGTTAACAATAGAAACGTTTGAGGTACCATTTCCCAAGCTGTTGTTCGCTACACAACGGTAGTGGCCGCTGTCTGTTCTGTTCACATTTGATATGGTCAACAGCCTGTTATGTTTTGAAAACCTGATTCTGGAATTGTTGTTTGTGGGAGATCCATCTTTGGTCCATAATATTATCGGTCCTGGGTTTCCAGTGGCATTACAAAATAAAGTCAAATTACTTCCCTCTTCTTTTGTGACATTCACTTGAGGATGAGAGACGATCTCAGCTCGAACTGCAATTTGGATAAAATTTTACTTTGAAAGGACTATCACGAAAGCATAAATATGACATGTCAACAAATTACGTTATGTGACCAATTGGCTCGCGGTTTGCTTTTTCAGCGTATCTTTGCTTCACAGTCAGACAACTGACTGATCATTGCTCAATCTTTCGTTTCAAGGAAATAAAGTGGTGCTAGAAAAGGAAGCTCTTTATGGAGAAAGGCTGCATAACGTCAGATAGTAACATGCTCAACTAAACATAAGTTGTACTGGGTACAAGAAACGGTTGCAATTTATAATGTATGTTGTGATATTCCTTACAAACAACTCAGCCACTAAAAGTCAAATTTTAAAAAAATTTACTTCCGATGACAACTAACATTTTCAAAGTACAGTAACCAATCACTTCCCATTGAGACAAAATCTCTTCGTAAAACAAGAAACAGACTAAGAGTAAGTATATCAGTAGTTAGTTAGAAAACCATCGGAATTCTTTCGGGTCAAAATGAGTATTTTAAATGAAAAGCGAGTGTAAAATTTGTAATTATCGAAGCACATCTAGGGAAAATAAACTAAGCTTACCTTGGTAAGAAATTAAAAGCAATGAATTCGATCAATCTTTTATGTATTTAAGCGGGTTAGCAGATTTAATCGAGGCAATTACACAAGAAAAATGAAACATTCGAATTAAATTACAATATCGAAATATCTTGCTTAAGGTAATGGACTGAAACAGAGAATCTCAACAAATTTAGCTTAACAAGGTCCTTAACTCACACTCGAGAGAATTCAATCTATTTGCATTGTGAATATCCAGATATTTAAACTGATGAAATCAATGCGCGGCCAGGGCCTATACCTCGTATATGGAAGTCAACGAGGTTGATTTCCGCTTCCAAATCTTTTAAAATTCTGTCTTCGAATAATGAAAAATGTCTTTTACCTCCTTGAGTAGATGAATAAAACACTAACAGTGATAGGACGAAGAACCAGTGAAAAAGACGCCCTCTGATAGTAAAAATTCCGGCAAGAAGATCGTCCATACTAAGAAAGCATAGTTTGATCCAAAAGGAAGAAGACAGAACGGCCGATAAAAAAAAAATAATTGTTGCTAGAGCTGCAAAAGAAATTATAATGAGGTATCTATAGGACAAGCATTCTGATTGGCTGAAAGAGCGTGCTAAATCAGAATGAATTGTTCGGCCGAGCTTAAGGGAGCCAAGTAAATTCTCGACATTTCGGATGGATTAATGGCACGTCAAAAGGACTGCTAGTGCTTATTCATGTACAATGACTAATTTAAGTCACTTACACTGAACATTAATCGTGGAAGCGTTAGAAGTATCCGTTCCAACTCTGTTTTTCGCTTGACATGCGTAATCGCCACTGTCTATTCTGTTCACATTCCTTATTGTCAACTGTTCATGGCTTGGTGACAAAATGGTACTGAAGCTGTTATTTATAGGATATCCATTCTTGTACCATGATATTGTTGGAGCTGGATTTCCAGTAGCGTTACAATATATAGTCACGTTTTGACCTTCTCTAGTTGTGATATTTTGAGGATGCGTCGCGATCTCAGGTTTATCTGTGGATAAATACAGTATTATCATTAAAAAAATTGTTTTAGAAAATAATACAAATTTTCATGTTCATTAAATAGTAATTGCTTTCCAAACGTATTTAAGAGAGGATGTCAGCATCCATCGAACAAATTTGAATTATTGTGGCAAGTCGCCCAAAATTCATTTTCTTCCCTACCTTCGTATTTTGTAGCCCAATATGTTCTAATAATTGTGGTGTAGTTTTTTGGTGAAAATATATTTCAGTTTTCGAGAAATGATTTTTTTCGTTCGACCGCTCAAATATGCAAATTTTCATGGTGAATATTACCCGAGTTGTGTGACCTCATGTAACGAATTTACTTGACCTCCGATATTTCTGTCAACATAACCCTTTGATTTATCATCTAAACTTAATCCCCTGTCATTATTGAAGCTGGCAAAGAAATATTTATTTTTTGGTGAATATTTTTGTCTGACATACTTTTTCTATGTCGAAAAGTAGCATCAAAACAAAGACAGTTTTAACAATGACCGATACGACAGAATCTACTGAGCTTCTAGCTTTTAAAAGACAAAAGGATGGTTATAAAGTTACTGTAAAAATTTCCTTGTGTATTTGTGTCGTTCTATCGTGAGATGAACTCAAAGTCCGGCAAAATTTACTTGCTAACGACTATGAAATATTTGGTTTGGAAGGTGACATTAACTCATGAGCAGTTTTCAAGGACGATCTTGTTGTAAATGTGGTACGGGAGAAAAAGTTCTCGTCAGCTGGAGTGGTAAAATCGTATTTTTACCTTATGGTTTCAAATTTGATATAGCGACTCAAACCAATGAGTGATTAATAAACGTTACTGAAGAAAATATTCTCCACCAATTGGCTAGTTCAACTCGTAATCATGTACCTTTAACTATGATCATTGTCGTATCCTGAGTGCTGTTTAAAATATTCGTGACTTTACAGATGTAATTTCCCCCATCCTTTAGGGAAGCTGCAGTGATTGACAACTGTATTTGACTCTCATTGAAAGATGGAATTGTCACTCTTGAATCATTAATATGCATTGAGGTATTTTCAGCAATCACAGTTCCTTCTTTTATCCATCGCACTTCAGACACTGGTGGTGACGCTTCATACCGACATATCAGCTGGATATTGCTACCCTTGGCCACATATTGCTCCTGATCGCCATCAATTGTAACCTCGGGTTCAACTGAAAAGAAAATAGCGTCGGTGTTAGAGCTAATAAATCATTCGAACGTGTGGCATGCAAATCTCGCTTTGTAGCTTCGTTGATGTCGACCTACATTTAACTTTATAACAAACAAATGATCATCAATGGACGGCCCATGAATTTCACAACAGGAAAGTACTGGACAAGGTAACGAACAAAATGAAATAGAACAGATAAAATTTTACAATGAAGTAAGAAAAAAATATTTGAGAAAAGATTACAGCTGCACTACCCATTTAGGCATCGAGAGCGTGCATCCAAAGGGTAATTGTGTCTTTGGTTAAAATAAACGACCATTGCATCCAATTCGAGAACGGGAGAGCAGAGATATGACCACTTTATAAGGTTCAAGGATGTCTTTGCAACTGCTACAGATTGTAAATACAGTTAGAACAAGTAAGACCTGGAAATTAAAGGGTTTACAACACTTACAAAGAACATCCACTCTGGAATTTGAGGTATCATTTCCAACTCCGTTTCTCGCCTCACATTGGTATTCACCGCTGTCCGTTCTGCTTACATTCGTTATTGTCAATCGCTTACTGTCCTGTGAAAGGCCGATCCGAGACTTGCTTTTTATGGGAGACCCATCTTTGATCCAGGATATTGATGGTTCTGGATTTCCAGTGGCGTTACAGAACAGAGTTATCTTTTCTCCCTCTATGGGAGTTTTCCCCTCTGGACGGGTGGTGATTAAGGGTAGCTCTGTGTGAAAAAGCAGCAAGAGTTGTTTAATTTGATATTAAACATCCCTTCTAATTGTGACGTTTGCATTTTCAATCAAGGGACTAACTTGGAACAGAATACGCTAGCAGCCATAACTTGTAACGGTTCACTGAATAGAACAAACACGAGGGTTTCATTCGTAATTAAGGAAGAGTTGCTTTATCCCGCACAAGTTAGCTCCTGATTAACCTCAGACAAAAATGGAGCAGATTGGGTTGATAAGTTTTTTTGAAATAGTACTCTGGGTGCTCCACGTGAATGATTGGGTCTTCGCCTGAGATTATGTATTTTTTGGCATTAATCGGACTAGTTCAATCCCAGAGTTCTTTAAACAGCTGAAGATTTTGAATTATTATTTTTCTGATTGTGGATTGCATTGATTCTGTTGTAACGTCGCATGGTCCTCATTCCTCTCCGTTCTTCTCCAAATTAAAATGCAAACCCGCCTCTCCAATGACTAAGTCATCCGGGTGGCGAGGGAATTTTAAAGTAGCCCCTCTAGAACCTCGTGAGAGCGCTTACAGTAAATGTGACTCCCACTGTTCCACCAATTTGAATTGCCCACTGCCAAAAAAAAGAGACAAGCGTAATTGTAAAGTGCTTTGTAGCATACAATACCTTGGCTTATGACTGACGTATTCTGGGATGAGTTACCAACAGAATTAATGATAAGGCAAGTGTAGTTTCCAGCATCCTGCGAGGTACTTTGATTTATAAGTAACTGTATTTGACTTTTATTGTAATATAGAACAGAAAAGCGGGACTCGTTGACCAGCAGACTAGAATTTCTAACAATCACATCTCCATCTTTTATCCACTGCGCTTTAGAAACTGGTGGTAAAGCATCGTACTTGCAGATGAGTTTCTTTGATTTACCAACAACTGCAAACTGTCGTGGACCATCAATAATTGTGACATCTGGTTTATCTACATTAAAAATAAAAAAAAGGGTTCTTTTCTCAACCCTATTGATTGCCCGATAGACATTCGAGATAACGAGACTCTGATTGGTTGTCAAAACCAAATGATCGATTGTTTGTAAAGAACGTAAAGCCACGGAAGGCTTTTGCGTGGAGAGCAGAATAAACCATCTCAGCTTCACAACAAAACTTCAAGGTCATTTATCGAGACATACATTTTACTTACAAAGAACTCTTAAGGTAGTGCCATTGGACGTAACATTTCCGATGCTGTTTCCCGCCACACATCGGTACACTCCACTGTTTCTTCTACTCACATTCTTGACAGCTAAATGCTTTCCTTCGTAAAACAAATTCATTCTAGAACTGTTACTGGTGTCCACAGAATTCCCATCTATAGTCCATGTTATTGTCGGTAGTGGATTTCCACTGGCATTGCAAAATAAAGTAACTTTGTCTCCCTCGATTCTCTGAATCGTTCGTGGAAGAGGGCTGATATTGGGTTTATCTACAGCCGTCCGTATGAGACAAGCAAAATCACCAGCAGAACATTTTAAAGAAAAGAAATTAATATTTTCAGTTTCCTCGAAAAGAAGGAGATGTATCAGATCTATCCCTAAAAAGTCTAAACAGTCCTACTAGGGACCAAAATGTGGAAAGGTGGGGAATACGATTTTTAAATTGATATTAAAATCTACTCAGATTTAAGCACCAACAGATAACAGTATTATGCCTCGAGCTTAAATCAACTTTACTGAAAAAAAATGTTGCTACAAGGACTTGTGCTTCGGTAATTGACTTCTCGAACCGATTTCTGCACAGAAAAATATGACGATCGCATGAAAAGACTGGACTAACAACCCCAGAATGTCAGATTTACTCTGAGTATTTTACGATACGGCAATGAATACAGGAACATTTAACATTTAAAAGCTCTCCGACATAAAATAAGCACCGAATTTGACGTCATCAAAATATGAGACAATTTCTAATTTCAAAGTAAGATACTTCGTGACAAAGCTACCCAAGTATTGTACTTACATAGCACTCCTAGGAAAGCAGGACTGGAGGTATCATTTCCAAGGCTGTTGGTAGCCACACATCGATATGCTCCGCTGTCTACTCTGTTCACATTCGTTATAGTAAGGTGCTTGTTATCCGCTGACAAACTAACCCTGAAGTTGATACTAAGAGGTGATCCTCCCTTATTCCATGATATTTTTGGTACAGGATTCCCCATAGCGTTACAAATAAAGGTGGCATTGTCTCCTTCTTTTCTAGTTTCATTCTGTGGATGAGCGGTGATCCCTGGTATGTCTGTAACAGGAAAAAAACCGTGAGTTTGTGTTGTTTTGTGAAAAGTGAATAACATCAACACTTTCGTGCAACAGGTGAGTTGGAATATTTGTTGTGGGTACCAGCGATGATATCCAAACATATCCTAGCCTCCGTTTGTCTAGACGACACAAATTAATGACTATTGACATTCATTGGTTCAAATCATAGGCTTTGGCCGCAAATAATTTGCAATCTCTCACACCTTCTATGGGAAATCTTACTTGCACCACACTTGATCCCCAATCATTTCCTTTCATTCTTAAAATTTAGGTACTTCTCCTCCAAGTAATGCAATTGAATGATTGTCACCCTAACGACATATCGTACTTACATAGTACATCCAGTGTAGCAACTTGGGAAGAAGCATTTCCGAGGTTATTGGACGCCAGACATTGGTATTCTCCGCTGTCAGTCCTGCTAATATTCGTTATCGTCATTTTCTGTCTGTCTCTAGAAAAAATAATCCTAGGATTGTCATTCGTGTTGTTGAGAGACCCTTTAAAGATCCATGATATATTTGGTTCTGGAATTCCTATAGCGTTACAAAACCAAGTGACATTTTCTCCTTCCGTTTTAGTGGCATTCAAAGGATTGAGAGCGACCTCCGGTTGATCTGCAAAAAAACAACAATAATCATAACCAACAATATCAATAGACATTAAATATCACTCCACTCTTTTTTTGGGTAAACTAAAATGGTCAACTAGGATTACAGATCATCAACATTTCAAAATCGAACGAATAATTTACCCAACCATCTAAATTCAATGATATTCAGAAAAACAAGAGCCGAAAGGAAAAAAGGTTTTCTTACATTGGACACTCAGTGTGATGACATTGGACGAAACATTTCCACGACTGTTCTGCGCCACACATAGGTATTCCCCGCTATCTGCTCTGTTTACGTTCGTTATAATCAGCTGCTCGTTGTTATTTGTGAAAGAAATCCTAGAGTTGCCGCTTGTATTCAAAAGAGATCCATTCATGATCCAGCGTACTGTCGGAGGTGGTTCACCATCAACAATACAGGAAATAGTCACGCCAGTTCCTTCAACAGGTCTAGTATCCGTCGAATTAATGTGTGGTTGATCTAAATCTGTAATTATCAGCAAACAATACAGACAATTAGTATAACACACCACCTTTTAATTACAACCTCGTTAATCGATAGTTGTAGACAGCTGTCGAACAAGAGTACCAGTTCCCTTTCTGACTTTTCTAGTGGCTAATCGTTCCAATAGGAAGATATGGCAATAGCCCGGAACTGGAAAACCATGCAACTAGTTTTTTATTTTCTCTCTTTTGGCCGCTATCAGCTAAATCTGTCACCAGTCTCTCTATGCAATCTCCTTTAGTTTTTGCAGAGGATGATCTCATGTTGCCTTCAAAAAACCCGTAAAGTGAACAAGAGCTGCCGGTCTAAGAAAAGCTGGCCTTAGGCCGAGAATTTGTTCTCTACGGTAAAAGAGGGCACCTAACCCCATTAAACAGCAGATGATCTAGAATAGTGGTTCAAATAAGTCTTAAGCAGACAGAATGTGCTCAATGTTCAACTTAATAACTACGAGCTAATATTCATCATAATCCATCAAATAATACGATGAAGTTCAGATATAGCGCGTGCTCTCATTGAGTACAAAAGACGGGGTCACAACAGCCGATTTGTACGAACGCTGTAACCCTGAAAAATTTTTATGTTCCTTCGAATTTGGCTCTCTTTCATTCATAAGAAACACACGTTAAGAGGTTTGTTTTCTAATTGTCGTGTTAAAAAAAAAAAAAAAAACTTGCAGCTTTAATGAGCCACAATTCGGCCAAATTTTACAAAACATTTCACTTTCAGATTCTGTATTCAGATTGCAGAAACCATAAGCAAGTGTTGAATTCGACCTGCCAAACTATTTCAGTTGGTGAACTATTACAGTTTGTGAACTTTGACGGTGTGACTTTTTTGACAGCTTTAGTCTTATTCAACTAATCGGGTTAATTGAGTCTTGTACTTCCTGCAAGAAGTGGGGAGGCACTTGACTACGTCTCGAGTTTCTCCCTACCCTTCTTTCGTGCTCTAGCCACTTCCTGCGTGCTTTACAACAAAACAGAGTTCAGTTTAGGCTTCTTTATTTGTTAATTTTTTGTTCTTGCGCGATTGTGCTGAATACATCACGTGGCCGAATATCCCTCCCTCCCCAACTAAAACTGGGAAATCTTCAAGAATATTCCCCCAAGTGAAAATCCCCAATTTTCATACTGACGTCCATTACTGTTTGAAAATTAATTCAATATGATAGAGCGTCTTGTCGTTATTACTGAAGAAGGGACATATGTGTTTGTTGATAAGGTCGTACCAGACAACACTGAAAAGTAAACATCCCACGCTGCAAACGGTGATCTGTTCGTAAATATCGTTTTAACGGCGCGTTGCAAAAATATTTGAAGGATAATAAACATGTTAGTCTCCATTTGGCGCCAAAAATATTCTCGTATATTTGACTTCTGTTTCTCAAGGCTCATAGTTTTCGACAAGCTTCGCTCTCGGAAAACTGCTTGCATCTCGAAACAGATCATAGTAGTGTCCTAGGACAAATGTCCGTGTATATATTCGTGCCAAATGGAGTCTGTTTTTTTTTTAATTCAAATGCGTCAATGGCAAAATCAAAGACTACTAAAATTATATCCTATTGGCTTGTGTAACCTTGTTTCACAGTTCTTTGTACTTACACAGTACTGAAATCTCCACTTCACTTGAACTTCTTTCTCCATATGGATTAGTACTTACTTCTAACCTGTAGCTTCCCTTGTCTAATCTATTCACTCCCAGAAAAGTAATTGATGTGTAGTCATTTGTTATGTTGACGTGTAAGCGACCACTGTACGAGCGTTGTATCACCGGTACGCGATCGGAGGCTAATTTTTCCACAATCTGCACATAACCCTTTGCAAATGCCGCCCGACGGAACTTTTCCTCTTCGGTAAATGTGTACCTCCATTCCAGTGTAACATTGGCACTTTCCACGGCAAGGAATTGTTTTGTAGGTTTTTTGGTGAACACTGGCTTCCCTAATGATACAAACGACAAAACGTTTTCGGCTTCACCAAGTTTTTACTTTATCATATGACTTCACTTCTATTTTAATAGATGAAATAAATAAGATACTTCAAGGGCCCTGATCGGTCAAAAAGCTATCGTTTATTGCACCGGTTAGCGCAAAGAAACTTGAAAAACATACCGCGTCTTGGGTTATAACCTCAATTTTTAAAGGTATAGAAACCACACTTCCTATCGGTTACCGGCTTTGAGTTTCCGCCGTGACGTACTAGCAAAGTAATTTTATATCTGTTGTCATTCGGACATTATTCTTAAAAGATGAACGCTTTTCGCCTTCACTTTCTCGCGTTTATTTCTCCTCGTTGTTGGAGCTTTGTGGCTCAATGCGTGAAAAAATCATGCAGCTCGACAATTTCTATAACATGGTTTGTAACTGCTGTTTCATCTTCTTCCCTCGTTACGCACGCAGTCTCGATCATGATAGGCAAAAATCAACTGCCATTGAAAAAGATACTTAAATTAACAATGAGTATATTTTACTTAAAGAAAATTTAACGAATAAACACAGCTTTTTGTCACCGAAAGTGCCATGGTCATTTGGAACAGAGAGTAAACAATTTCATCAATCCAAGTGACTATCACGAGCTAGCACGGAAGTCTCGAACGACGCATGTATTGCACAACATCTCAGATTCGTAACAGCAGGCGACCAACCAGGAAAAATAAATGGCTTCTTCCCAGTTTCGATACATTTAATGGAGCGTTGACTTTCATTAACACTGTTTTATCCCGTGGAAGCCACTTTCACTTTTGCGCTGGATTTCCAAGTTTTCTATACACTACAGTAAGTATGTCACCTATTTCTCGTCGGGTTGGTTATGTCTGTCCCACAGTTCATACGGTTCTCGTGATAGTTAATAGCCGCCGCTTTCTCTGCCGAGTCTAACATCACGAAAGCACGAATGCCTTACTTTCTCTACAGTCGTTGTTGACATGTTCACTTCAATTCCGACACGTTCGTTGACGACCGTAATAAACTTTCACATTTTGAGAAACGTATCCAAGCTGAATCAAACTCTCATATTCAGTTATAAACAATAAATTTTGTTTAAACAGCGCAAATTTTAAGCTTCTTCTCGGTCTATTTCGTCAGGCCATATTTTCACCTTTGTCAACACATACAAGCATGTAATGGCTTCCGACAATGATATGCTTGCAAACCTTACCTTCGGCAGAAAACACGAAAAGAGCACACAGAAAGATCGTAAGTGAACCTCCCTCCATTACACAGAATGTCTTTTGTTGTCTTTTACATCGATTGGACTGCTTTAAAGCGAATAAATGCCGCTTTTTTTCAACACAAATAAGCGAATAGTCGATAGAACGAACGTCGCTAGGCCAACACTTTTCTGTAACACGATGATCCTTGCAAGGTATCAATTATCAATTGTCTTCAATAATTATGGACTTGTGGGTCACGCATTTCCGCCGAGCTCAGTCGGTTTGAGTTTTTAGATTTTTCAGTCAAGAGCTATCATAAACTTTCATTTTGATCACTAAAACGAAGAATTCCTGGTGCTTTGCAAATTCTGTGCAATATGTAAACTGTTACTTCTCCGAATGCATCTGTCTGATAGAAAACCTTATCGATTTCCGCATGATAATTTCTGAGACATGTACAGGAATGTTTCAGGATTTGAACTGTCAATTACTTTGTTTACTAACGCAATTCCTTAGCAATTAGAAAAATAATAGCTCGTTCTTCAACTCTTTGACATTTTATCCATGCTTTTCAGTAGGTGAACGCTATTGTGCTGACTTGGAGCGAAAAAGTGGCAAAGGAAGGTCCTAGTAAT